TATCACTGACTTGGGAGCTTTCTTCGTCATTTTCTCTTTTCTCTTCCAAAGATTTTCTTGCCACTTTCTCGAAATCGAAATTTCGCTGCCTCTTGGGGGGTTTTCGGTAATTACGGGAGGTGAAAAAGATTGCGAGAAAATTTATTTGGGAAGAGAAAGAGAAAGAGAAAATGATCAACAAAAGTTGCCACGTGGCGTTATGTGATCAACAAAATGTTTTTGAGAAAAACCCAGAAATTTACAATTTTTAAAAAAAATTAACTTTGTGTGGGAGAGCTTACACGTCGATGGCAACATCTCTGCTTCTCAGACATTCCTCAGCTGTCTTCTTGTCTCATTCTTCCTTCTTCTTCACCAAGAACAACTCTTCTCGTTCCTTCGCTTCCATCAAGGTGAGATTTTCTCGGTTTCGATTTCCCAGAAAAACCACTGATTCTCTAGAAATTGATCATCTTTTGCTAGAATCTTGTGTAGGATTTTGACTCTGTGTTGGGTTTAGGTGTTGATGAGATTGTGTCTGAAATTGGGCTTTGCTTGTGTCTCAGATGGAAAGAGGTGAAGCAAGTGAAGAAAATGCAGTGAAGACGAAGAAAGTGTTTGTCGCCGGAGCCACTGGCAAAACCGGGAAGAGGATTGTGGAACAGTTGTTGTCCCGTGGTTTTGCCGTCAAAGCCGGTGTTCGTGATGTAGACAAAGCAAAAACATCTTTCAAAGACGACCCATCTCTTCAGTTCGTATGTTCTTGGTCCTTAATCCGACCTTTTTTCGCTGTTCATTAAAAATCCATAACTGCTCTGTGATGTTTATCTTGTAGGTTAGAGCAGACGTGACAGAAGGCCCGGAGAAGCTAGCTGAAGCTATAGGTGATGATTCTCAGGCTGTGATTTGTGCTTCTGGGTTTCGTCACGGGTTTGATCTATTCGCTCCTTGGAAGGTCGATAATTTCGGGACAGTGAACCTGGTGGATGCCTGTCGTAAACAAGGAGTGAACAGATTTGTTCTTATAAGCTCAATCTTGGTGAATGGAGCTGCGATGGGACAGATTCTGAACCCAGCTTACATCTTCCTCAACGTCTTTGGACTAACTCTGGTTGCAAAGCTTCAAGCCGAGAAGTATATCAAAAGGTCCGGGATCAATTATACTATAGTAAGGCCTGGTGGTCTTAAGAACGATCCTCCATCAGGAAACGTAGTCATGGAGCAAGAGGTAAAACCGCCTTTGATCTTTGTTTCCACTGTTTTCGTGCTGGAACCGATAAATATCTGACCTACATTTGATCTTTGTAGGATACTCTCTATGAAGGGAGCATATCAAGAGACCAGGTCGCAGAAGTTGCAGTGGAAGCTTTACTTCATGAGGAATCATCTTTCAAGGTTGTGGAGATAGTTGCTCGTGCCGATGCTCCAAAACGTTCCTACAAAGATCTTTTTGCTTCTGTTAAGGGCCATTAAGTAGAATAAAAATCAATCACAATAACGAGTGTCAATGCTATGTTCGAGACTCTTATTTCTCTTGTCTTGAGTACAACAAACAGATACATAAGCTTTTGCGCATCAACTGAGTTCAAGATAAGTGTTGAGAGAGTTTCATTCAGTTTTTTATCTCTTCTCCACTTCGGGTCTTAAGAACCCATCAATGACGCTTGTTCCCGGTCGCATGTTCCCATGAGTGCAAGACATGGCTGACAATTTCCTCTACCCCAAGTCCATGCTTCACCTGAAAATGTTTAGTAATCACTAATCAGATAAGACTCCTATGTAAGAACTAAGCTCATTGGTTATATAAGTGATGAATCATAGCCTGTAAGATGACGGACCTGAGCAAAGACGAATGGCCCTCCATCACGCATGCGTAGTGCATCCCGTTCCATGACAGATAAGTCGGCCCCAACAGCTGCTGCAAGGTCTGTCTTGTTTATCACCTGCAGTTAAAACAATCCGCAGAGCGGTTCTTTCACATTACTAAAAGTTTTTGATCAAAAGAGCTTGTAAGTTAAGAGTTTAAGTAACATAAGTGCACCAGAAGATCAGCTTGAGTGATTCCAGGGCCACCTTTACGGGGAATTTTATCACCAGCCGATACATCAATGATGTAAATGATGTAGTCAGCTAGTTCTCTGCTGAAATTAGCAGCTAAATTATCTGCAAACACAATACAACTCCTATTCAATCTCACTGGATCCGTGAATACTATGCCATAACTAGCAAAAACTGGGCAAACACGCGCGGGAAACAGAAATAAAACCTCCACCAGATTCACAAAGAAGCAAATCAGCCTTGAATAAGTTAGATAACTCCTCGAGAGGACCTAAATTAATACTGATATCTTCACGGATCGCAGCGTGAGGACATCCACCGGTTTCAATAGCCCTAATCCTTTCCTCAGGAAGAGCCCCATTCTTTACCAGAAACTCACCATCCTCTTTGGTGAATATATCATTGGTCACCTACAACGTTTAGTAGACCACAATCTTCTTCAGTCACATAGAGATCAAGGAAACAATCTTGTGTCGGAATTAACGCAAAACCGGAAAGATTTGTGGCTGATGATAATACTCACAGCAGCAAGACTGTATTTTTCCCGCAAGAATCTACAAAGAGCAAGCATCAATGCCGTTTTCCTGAGTGAACAAAAGCAAGATCCAATCAGACTTTCTCTGGAGATTAAGCCACAAAGTTGACACTTTTGAGAAAACGAAATAAAACCCAATTCACGATTCCAAAGAAACAAGAAAAGAAAGCTTAATTATGGAATGAATCCCATCTCAATCAGAGATTGTTCTACGTTACTAAATCTAAAATCAAGAAATCAATTTGATCCCAAAAAAAAAAAACACTTTCTATTACAAGTAAGAGGAATCAGAAAACATTACCCTGTGCCAACGGGACCGCCAATACCGACGGTAAAAGCTCTCTCAGAGAAGTTTCGGTCGTGAAGCGGAGGAGCTCGGCGACTGAAGTAGCCAGGAGAGTAGATGGGTTCGTGTGAGTGCGGTGCGAGTCCATCGTGGCTATGGTACACCCTCCCGTCCGGTCCAACCCACGACGTCTTCGCATCGCCGTCTGCTGATTTCCTACAGAATAAGATTAGATATGATTGGTGATGGTGATGGTGGAGTTGAGAATCAAATCGGAGGAGAGAGCTGATTGTTGTACTCGTGGCCTTGCTC